TTTAGAACATGTGCTTGGGTTTGATGTGGGTCAGCACAGGGATGCGAGTCTCGCATGGCATAAACTAGATATTATTACAGCGGACTCCAAACACCCAGCATGCTCCATTCTTCTGCGAGCAGCCTCTGTCACCCAGTAAAACTGTGCTAACACTTTGTGTTGCAGTAAAAGTCACAGAAGCATGAACTCACAATAGAGGCAAACAGTCACAAAGCAGAAAGCAAATAAGTGGTTTCAGCAGCAAAATGAAATAGCAGTCGTGCTATTCATGCACACTAACTGATGTGGCAATAAGTGCCAGCACTTCATGAGCACCGACGTGCTGAGAAACTCCTCTGGGGAATATAGAGGCCAAAATAATCCTGATGCCAAAGAGTAACTAATTCATGGGTGTGCTCTACTTCCATTTCAAACCACTGGGGACAAAGTGACAAGGATGATCAGGGACTTGTGAGACAATTCTTCACTCTCAAAAAATGGATTCAAATTTTGATCTGGCTTTATTGCTTTACGTTTCCAGGCCATGTGGCCCAGGTGGTAACTCACAACCCTTTTACTGCTTTAACCCACTGCATCTTATTCACCACACTTATAAAACTTATAAAAGCATATTTCACTTACCAGAGGACCCGTGACCCATCTTGTGTCCTGAGGTGCCAGGTGAGGAGTCCAGGTTTGCCAGAGAGCCATGCTGGTCTGGTTCCTTGGACTCATCTTCTGCTATTATTTCCCACCCTGAACATGTCGGGTTAAGGTCAACACACATTGTGTAGATTCCTCTGAGCTTTTAGATTCCTCCTGTAAAAGAGTCATGATCTTTCAAGACTCTCACTTTCCTCAAGCTTGTCTTTGATGTTGACTTGAAGGGTAAAATCCAGATGATACTCCGCGGGAGCTGCCACAACTTTCCCGTTCATTAGCATGTGTGTGCCGGCTGCTGCGTGCAAACTCCAAAAACTATAATTAGAATCCAGCTTCACTGTGACCAACTAAGCAATGATAATGAACAGTCCATCTCAATTAACGCGAAGCAAGCAGCCATTGAGAGCGGCCCTGCTGTGCTCTTATTCTGTCAGATAAGTTTAGAGTTTCATTAGAGCATTAATAGCCTCCTTGCACAGTGCGTCGCTGTCACAAAGGCATCAGACGGACTGACATCAGGTGAGCATGTTAGATGGGAGAAAGGTTATGTTTGTTCAAAAATAGAAAACAGCAGAAACTATATGATGCATCTAAAGCTGAAGTCATGCGGTGAGTTAAATTCACAAATCATTTCCAGCTCATTCCACATGATACAAAACACGCTCCTCTTCTGAATTGTACTATCGTACCGGGTACACAAATTTAACACCATTATTGTGCTTGTTTATTTAGACTCTTACTGCTTTTTGGTCTTTACATGATGGACATGCAGAATATTAGTAGGTTACTAAAAGGATACGGACACTGACGGCATCAGCGTCTGTGCTCAGCAATCTCTTCACCTCCTTTTCCACATCAGGAGATTCAATGTACTGTGGATAGAGAGAGAGATCAAGTTGCATGAACTGTTCGTGGCATTGCTCACGCACACACACACTGAAAGGTAGCAGCTGGCTGAATGCCAGCACGCACATTAGCGATTAGAACAGAAGGGGCTAAATCAATATGGCTCGGCTGTGCAACTTCCATAAGATTTATTCAAAAGACAATGTAGAAGTGTAGTGCTCATGCACACTTGCTTTCACTTTGATCAAAGCAATAGTGAAATTGCTTTTTGCATGCCTTTGGGGCAAACTGAGATGGAAAGGCTTTATTTATATGTAAATCTTAGTTTTCACTTTCACCACAGCTTCTATTTTATGAAATGTAAATGCCCTGTTGGAAGAGAGCCTGGGAAAGAGATGGATCATCAGACGAGATGCTAAACGGATGGATGGGAAAGGGGAGGAAGGAGCTGAAGGGGAAATGGAAATGCCAAAACCTTTTTTTTCGCTGTCTTCCGAAATCTCCTCTTGCGTGTGTTCTTCAGAGGGCAGGTGACTGGAGACCAAAACAACAGGATTAATGAAGTCAGTACAGCTTGTTCAGCTGTATGGGGGAAACTATACTTCTTGAATTGCTGATGTGCCAATATTTCAGCTCAAAAAGCTGTCGTGTGTAGATGTTTGTCGACTTACTGCCGTGGTTCCAAACAAATTTCTTGTCCTTGTCTTTGTCCTTTTTCTTGCTCTTAGGGTCGGTGCCAGTTGGCTCCTCTAAGGGAGGGTAAAGGTCTCCATCTAGTGTACATACCAGCATCTGAGCCATGCAAAATTAATAATTAATGACTCAGCGTAATTAGCATTTGCTGATTAAAGTCTCTGTACTCTTGCATAATAATTAACTATTTATATTTTAATGTAAAAATGTACAAAACATTTTTAATTGCAATTAATGTCCAAAACTAAATATGTATCCAGTGTTTGTATATATAGATACACCCTGCTGCTGCTCTACCTGGAAAAAAATCATGTTTAATTGATAGTCACCCTAAACCTGGACTTTAAAAAAAAGTATTCAATGAAGGTGACATCTCCACTGGAAACTGAATCCAATTAAATGCCCTTGTGGTGGTTTACCTGACAGACATCAGCAGTTTTGTAAAATGTCTTCTTGTCCACAGTCTTCATAGACTCAATCATACAAGGCAGATCCACCAGTTTGCAGGCCAAAGGGACACGGTCCACTCTCACTATGCCATGACGACCATCAGCTAAAAAACAATAAGAGGAATGATGTTTTGAGGCTATAAAAACACACAGACACAGCTGTCGGTGTCAAGTTGGAAAACAAACATGCAGGTAGAAAACAAGTTTGGCAATAAGTAGGATGCTTGAGATTATCGAAATAAAAATTACTGAAATGAAAAACAAGGCAAAAGGCAAATTTCATGAATAAAAATGTCAGACTGGCTGTAGAAATATTTACATTTTACAACTTTAAAAAGTACTTAAACATATAACCTGATTATAACTGTGATGTCACACACATCAGTACTGTGAACAACTATAAAAGCATCTTACGGTGCAACTCAATGGTGAGTCTGTCTTTTATGTTCATACTGCTTGACTGTGCAATCCTTCTGACTGTTGAAGCATACTCCTGTAAGAGATCCATCCACATCACATGTTTAAGTACTCAATCATGGTTAATAACATGAATATGTGTATATATATATATATAATCTGTTTTATAAAGTGCAGGTCTCACCGTGGGCAGCCGCAGGACAAACTGGCTCTCCAGCTCATACGGAGCATCCTCCTTGTTCTTGGAGCCGACCTTCCCGACTAGAACCAAAACAGGTGACGATGAACAAATGGTTCAAACCACTTACTTATTGCTTTATGTATTTAAAAAACTACAATTTACACAAAACTTGTCAAAACTCTTTGGCTGTACTGAACTAACATAAGTCATATTTAAAACCTTATTTTGATTTGGACTGTGTCTTAGTAACTCTATTCTACTGTTATGCTGCACATTTAAATGTATATAACTTCATATTCATTACGGCTGCATCGGGTCTATTGACTTTTGTCTGAAGTAGTTATAACAGAATGAAGTGAGATGAATGCACTCGATTGCTTGTAGATCTCACGTTATAAAGTGATTTCTAATCACAGCTTTGAAACGTATAAGCTAATTTGGCTCCATTGAAGCTAACTGGATAGAACAGTGCAGAGCGTCCAGAGGAACCTGCTACAAGCCTGCAGCTGTGACACGCTGGTTCACATCAGCAGCCACACTCCGGTCATCCTGTTCTTTTATTTCTATAATCATTCATTCATTTAGACGCAACCGCGTTAGCAGCTTGTTTACAATGGAGAGGGCTAACAGGGGCTATCGTTAGCTTAGCAGCTATGCTAGCAGTGTGCTGTTTTAACTTTGTACCTTTCAGTTTAGACGTCATCTTCGTCCTTCTTCAATAAACAAGACGTGTTTGATGATGAAACACCTGCAAAGAAACAGCGAATATCACGATCCTGACTTTAACTCGATCCAGTTCAGCTAACGAGGAAAAAACATGTCGGAGTGTGTGTTGACGACTGCTGCCTTCAGGAGCTCCTCGGAAAATGTGCCTGTAAGATATCAGGCACATCAGGCACATATTTAGCACACACATGGTTAGCTATATCTTAAAAGAAGAGATTGGGTAATACATATTTAAAAATTTAAAATATATGATGTACACGTACAGATGTTTCCTCACGTTGTTTTCACTGTTTCAGTAAAATCACGTGATGTTAATTTTGTCCCTCACCGATATAAATGATTTCCGATAACAATAAACGTCACAATAAAACATTATTCTGTATTACGAGACCTGTCACGAGAATAAAATAAAATAAATAGGCGAGACTCTAAATATTTAACTTGTATTTAGCTTGTTATATTATTGTTATGATTTATATTTCATTTAAAAACATAAAATACTGTACGTTGAAAATAAACATGCCGTAATTTCTAATAAGGCTGTTTATTAATCACTAATCTGTGATATAATCAAATAAGAGCCAACACGTTCAACTTATACATAAATACATAAATAAGAAAATAGGTATTTATATATATATGTTCGTCATTTCCTGTCCTGTTGGATATTTCACTATAAGAGCCAGTCTTTTACAACTAGTATCATAACCCGATGAAATACACCGTAAAAAACGACTGAATATATTTTATAGATAAGTAATGAGTCATAATAATCACAACACAAGGATCTGCGCTATTATTTACACGTTACTGTCGATTTAAACGAATACTCCTGTTATGGTGCTTTTACCTCGAAATAAACACTGAACGCTTTCTGGGGAACAGTAGTTTTCACTTCCGGGTCAGGGTCGATCTGTGTGTTGCTGTCGTCCTTCCGCTCTCGCTCCGCCAGCCAGCACCTGATCGTGACTTCACATCTGCACAAAGTTTCCTCTTCGGTTCAATCCACGAGCGACGTTACACTTCTGAAGCAGGGAGCGCGCGACATGTTGTGTAAAGTGACCGTCAGCGGAGCGAGGAGGGCGACGCGGACGCTGTGGCTGCTGGTGCTGGTGAGTCTGTCTGTGAGCATCTGTGTGTGTCGAGCCTCCTCCTCATCGCTCCAGGAGGAGGACAGCGCCATGGAGAACATCGACACGGAGAAGAAGGCGGAGGAGAGCCACCGGCAGGACAGCGCCGACCTGCTCATCTTCATCATGCTCCTCACCCTCACCATCCTCACCATATGGCTGTTCAAGCACCGGCGCTTCAGGTTCCTGCACGAGACCGGGCTGGCCATGATATACGGTGAGAGACAGTGATGGAGAGAGAGAGAGGGAGGGGGGGGCTCAACAAGCTGTGACATCTTCTGTTCAGTACAGAAATAATAATAATAATGGTCATATTAATAATAGAGAAGCAAGGCCAATAATAACCCGGCACAAAATTCAGGAATATACCTTCTGAAAAAAGAGACTGACTATTTATTTAAACCTGTATTACATTTGTATTGATGATAATTATATAGTGATACTTGTTGTACATTATTTTACTGCCCAGCCCTGATTTAAATGCAGTGTTTTGATTGGACTTTGAGGAACTAATACTTTACAATAGTATCTGAATGCTCTGCTACTTCCCACTTCTGTATTCTTGTGTGTTATTGTTTGGTTAAGATGAGACTGAAATTCACAAGCTAACCATGACTAAATAAAGTAATTTAACAACTATGTTAAAGTGATGCCCACATTGATGCTAAATAATTTTACTTGTCCCCATTCTACAAAACTGTAATTTCAGACAGCTGCAGAAGCATCACCACCCCTTCGCTCCTCCAGTGACTCCTCTCTGCACTGAATTTGCTCATTAATTGACCCTCCCCTCTGTTGCCTTTTTTGTCTGGGCTCTTTTGTGACCCTTTACTCAGGAGTACTCGTTGGAGTGGTCTTGCGTTACGGCATCCACGTTCCTCGGGACATCAGCAACGTCACGCTGAGCTGCCACGTGAACGCCAGTCCTGCCACTCTGCTCGTCAACGTCAGCGGCAAATTCTACGAGTACACTCTGAAAGGAGAGATCAGTGCCAACGAGGTGGACGACGTGCAAGATAACGAGATGCTGCGAAAGGTACGCTCTTATTGTCAGGCAGAAGTTTGTCTCATCTCAAGCTGTTGCATTGATTACTGTAACTCTTATGAATGATGAATTTTGTGTTGTACCTTTATCTGGTGATTGAATGATGGGACACTAAAATTAAAGAGCAGTGGTTTGACAACCGCTTCAACATTTTCATTTATTCTTGATCAATGAATGAATCAGCTGAATTGCAGCTTGAATTCATGAATAGATAACTTCTGTTTACACAAAACATAATCCAGACAGAATGCCAGGGGACAGCCCTCTAACTGTAGGTCACTTCAACTTTTTTGGAGCCATGCTCTTTTAATTTATAAAAGCTGTCCCCTGTTCTAAACTTGTCATTTTACAACGTTAACAACTTTTTGATGATGGTCAGGAAGCTTATCAATTATGTTCCAGTTTATTTAAGTGATCCAATAATACAGCAGCCTTCAAGTTTCCATGAAAACAACTTTGTCTTGAAAATATTTTTTTATAATTCCTTATAGTAATTCATAACGATCACCTGACAGTCCATGGTAACATGTCATTACACAATAATACATGATAATTGTTTTTGTTTGTGACTCAGGTGACCTTTGACCCAGAAGTGTTCTTCAACATTCTTCTACCACCAATCATCTTCCATGCTGGCTACAGCTTGAAAAGGGTACAGTAGTATTACAGTAGTACATACAGTTTAGTTGTATTACAGTAGTATATATAGTGCAGTAGTATTTTAGCCACACTTTCTACTTCTTCATTAAAAATAAATGTTTATTACAAAGTGAACATTCTTAAAACATTTGATGAAACAATGTTCTCCTTTTATTATGAAATCTGAAATCTACGTATTCCTCTTCGTCTTCTGAGACCTAAGTATTTGAAGTATTTAGTTCAAATGTAGGATTTTATTCAGAGTTATATGTAGACGAGTGTTAATGTGTTAAATTGTTTTGTTTTTCAGAGACATTTTTTCCGCAACATGGGATCCATTCTCGCTTATGCCTTTCTGGGGACTGTTATTTCCTGTTTTGTTATCGGGTAAGAATATTAGTTTTCCAAAAAGGAAAACACTGATACAAACATCCTTGTGATTTCATATGTGGGACTTTATATACAGAATTTGTAAAAGTCAGTTGTCTGTGCGATTAAAGTCAGTGTGTTTTAGGATCTATTGCAAAACGACCTGCTGTTCCTCTGTCAGGTTGCTGATGTACGGCTGTGTGATGCTGATGAAGCAGGTGGGGCAGTTGGATGGAGACTTCTTCTTCACTGATTGTCTTTTCTTTGGCGCCATCATCTCTGCCACAGACCCTGGTACGTGTTAATTATATCACCATCATAGATTGGGAGCATGGCTCCTGAAGCGTTGGACCCCCCTCTTGCTGATGTGTATCATTATTTCTAATGCGGAGAATAATTCATTGTGTTTCTCTTTGCTCCCCAGTGACGGTCCTGGCCATCTTCAATGAGCTGCAGGTAGACGTGGATCTGTACGCGTTACTGTTTGGAGAGAGCGTGCTCAACGATGCTGTGGCTGTGGTTCTGTCCTCGTAAGTCATCTGTCTGTTTGACATCACGCACAGTTTGTTGAGTGTTCGCACGGCTGCTGCTGCTGCTCATGCATTTGTTATTAATTACCAGTGACCTTGAACTAAGCTAATATCAGCTTCTCATTGATGTGATGCTAAACCTGAGGTGGTACCTGAGCCGTCACTTGGTTTGTCTCCTGCTTTACACATAATTATTTCCACAGGATTGTAAATTATAATGGCAGGCACAGCGGAGGGGCCGGGCCCTGTGGAGAGACTTGGACCAGCCCATTGAACGGGTGTACTAAGTAGAGCATGGCATTGTGTGCCTTGGCGGTGCCTTGGGAGCGACATGACAAATCACTGGTCATTTGTTTTAACACTCTGGCTCATTCAACTGTAGACGTAGAACATTTCATTATTTCTTCATTTATTTCAGGACACATTCCTATTTTATTCAGACTTACTGCATATGCAGAAGAGGGGAGCCAGGAGTGTTTACAGACAAAATGCCTGATGATTTGTTTTTCAAGTGTGGGGGCTGTGAATGCAGGGGGTGAAAAGGGTCTGGCGTCAGACTTAGCTCAAGTAGTATTTGAAACTATTATTTGGAAGTGAGGTGTGCCACTTTGATTCCAATTTATTAGTCAAATATATTCTATTTTTCATAGTTGCATTCTCATGCTGACAATGACCCTGAACAATATTCAAAACGTCTGCTGCGATGACGTCCCTTTCATGGCACACTCCACTTTCAAACCACGTTTTAAAAGCTATTTGAGCCAAGTTTGATGAGACGTGTGGTACTTTTTCTTGTAAGTATATTTTTACTGGGATTTTTCAGTGTTGATACTCTACTACAAAGTCACACAAACTATAAATAAGAGAAAGTATAAAGTGACTCTGCTCAGCTTCTTTAATCCAAAAACTTTCTGTAGTGTGTGCGGCTGCTGTGACACGGATTCTTTGAGTTTGTTGTGTTGCCGGTTCTCTGGAATTTTTACGTCCGCATAATTTTTAAAGCAGATTCTTTATTTGACTAAATGATTAGAGGAAGGAAAAAGCTCTGTTGTCTCTTTTTTCCTATCATGAAAAAATGTGACTTTAACAGCACCTAATGATAAAAACTATATCCCTCTTTTCTTTTGTTAGTTATTATGATGAAGTAAATTAAACCAAAACTGCACAATAACATCCATAATTTTTAGTCCTCTATTGACCTCAATGGAAATGTACATGCATATAAACTGAATAAAAGACACATTCCATATCTGTAATTCTTTTTTATAGCATTTAGTTTTAATCAAGACTTCAGTATAAATCAATTATCAACACTGAATTAATGAAATACTCTTTTATTCCAACCTTATGACCTTTTTCTCTTTATTCCAAGTTCCCTACATGAGTGAAAGTTTTTCTTTAGCAAATACTTTTGTACTGTATTGGGAGGTTACAAAATGTTTACATGTTGACTACAGCACTTTCTGTATTTAGGCTTCAACTTCAGCTTGAGAAGTTTGGAAATGACTATGAACCTTCTCTGATGATTATTTGTCAGGAGACAATGTACACTTTGCATAAGTATTTGCCATTAACGGTTGTTGTTTGTGTAACATCAGGTCTATTGTAGCGTACCAGCCAGCGGGAGACAACAGTCACACCTTCGAGGTCATGGCGATGCTGAAATCTTTTGGGGTTTTCCTCGGAGTCTTCAGTGGCTCTTTCGCTCTGGGGGTGGCCACGGGAGTCGTCACTGCTCTCATATCTTTTTTGTTCATCTCACTGCATTGGTAGATATTTTGTTATTTTATTTTGAGGAAAAAACGTATATAATTATAAGTGCCACGTTTGATTGTCTGAGTGTCCTGTTAAACTTCTTGACTCTCGTCTGTACGTGACCAAGTTCACAAAGCTGAGAGATTTCCAGCTGCTGGAGACGGCTCTGTTCTTCCTCATGTCATGGAGCACGTTCCTGTTGGCTGAGGCCTGTGGATTCACAGGTTACACACGCACACGCACACACACACACACACACACACACACACACACACACANCACACACACACACACACACACACACACACACACACACACACTCGAGAGGGAATTCAACACATACACACACTGTAATTAAATATAGTGACTATTTCAACTGGAAAACATGCTCCCCCTGCTGATGTGTTGCAGGTGTGGTCGCTGTGCTGTTCTGTGGAATCACTCAGGCCCACTACACCTTCAACAACCTGTCCCCAGAGTCCCAGGACCGAACCAAACAGGTCAGACCTGGACCACATTAGCACCGCTTCTCATTCTGGTCCTTTCAATATGCTTCAAATATTGAGTTGTTTTTGTGCTTTTATTTTGAAAGCTTAGAAAGTGGCAGTTAGCAGTCAAAGTACAAAGGAAATATAAATAATAAAGCTGTGTATCAGTTTACAACTTATATTATGGTGGAGTCTGTGTGCTATACAAAGGGTTTCACAGTTTCTCAAGAAACACTGAGATTAGTTCAAGATTTTTGGGTCTGAAGTGGACACAGGTTCTCTTTGCTGCTCATTTCCTACAAAATATATATATTTTTTCTTTATTCTAATTGTATTACTTGTTTCTTGTGTGTTGCAGCTGTTTGAGCTCCTTAACTTCCTGGCTGAGAACTTCATTTTCTCCTACATGGGTCTGGCCCTGTTCACCTTCCAGAGCCACGTCTTTAATCCCATGTTCATCGTAGGAGCTTTTGTATCTTTTTTTGCGTCTGAAATTACAAAAAAAACCCAGATGACGCTCTTCTTAGTCACATCGTTTTCAGTCACGTCAGTATTGGCATAGAAAACCTTCCCACGGTTTTACAATGAACCACCAACATGCAAATGGTAATTGATTTGAGGGGGTCAGTAAATAAGCTTGGAACAGAACTAACCAGCTCTCTGTTTTGTTTTGTGTTGGTGTCCTCTCCTTAACCCCTTCCCCACCCAGCTGGCAGTGTTCCTGGGAAGAGCTGCTAACATCTACCCTCTCTCATTCCTTCTAAATCTGGGACGACGCAACAAGATCACATCCAACTTTCAGCACATGATGATGTTTGCAGGTTAGTGGTATACAGATACAAGATCTTCATCATGTACAGTGTAACCTCTGTAAAAATAAGACTTGAATGGATTTAGACTTTAAGGCGTCTGCACCCTGTGGATCCAGTGGGACATTTTCTAGTTTTTTGCAGCATGCTGTGAGTACATTAAAAAAAAAAATCAACACAGGTTCATTACCAGAGGTTTGTCTTATGTAGAAACTCACATGCTTGATGTTTGTTCATAACGATCATCTGTGCTGTGCTCGTCAGGACTGCGAGGTGCGATGACCTTCGCCCTGTCCATCAGGGACACGGCGACATATGCCCGTCAGATGATGTTCACCACCACTCTGCTCGTGGTCTTCTTCACTGTGTGGATTTGTGGAGGCGGCACCACCCAGATGTTGTCCTGCCAGCGCATACGGTAAGACTCTCCTCCACCCTGCTCGCATCCATCCCTGTATTTGCAGTTAGTGTTTCTTTGAAGGGGGATTGACACTTTTTTTCATGTTTGTCTCTGGCTGAGCAAACTTCAGTTTAAATCTCCAGGAATTAAGAATTGAAAATAACCTTTGGCCCTCCTCTGGTGAATGCCTGAGGGTTTTTATAATATGTACACTTCCTCATAAGGCCTCTCTGCTCAGGAACTTGTTAAACGGGGGAAACATGCTGCTCAACACATGCTCTGACAGCTGCTGACTCAAACTGATATACATGTGTTTGTTTTATTTACAGAGTGGGAGTGGACTCTGATCAAGATAACTCTGTGAGTCAGTCCCCTGTGAAAGAGGCATTACTTTTCTGGGATAGTGATGCATATTATGACCACAAGAAAATGCCTGAAAAGATTTCATGTTTTTTTTTGTAGATGAGCTTCGGCGAGGAAACAGAGAGAAGAAGCACCAAACATGATAGTGCTTGGCTTTTCAGGATTTGGTACAACTTTGACCACAAGTATCCTTTAGTGAGAAATTACTTTTTCTTCAGTCATAAAAGTCAAACAGAAAAAAACAAACGTTTTATTTATTTAAATTTAAATTAAAAAAAAAAATGGGGGGATTTTAAATAGTTCTTGTTATTTGTTGTCACTTTTCTGAGAGCTCGACAAATAAGTAAAGGATGATAAACCTTAAAATAATGAAATAAATTCAAAATAAAAGTACACAAAATATAACAAAAAGCAGAAACCATCCATAGAAAATATTAGTATTAAAAACTGGTTATAAAGTTAGAAAAAATATAAAACGTCTATATAGATACTAAAATTAAGAGTTAGATTGTCCAAGGATGTGTGCACATACAGGGAATTTGACTCCTGTTTAGTATCACTTTCATTGTACTTATATACTGAACAACCATAGATAATCTTTCTATTCTTAAAGAGTTAAGAGTAGTGCCAAAGATAAACAATCGACAATATATACAAATACAAAGAGTGATGAATGGGCAGTGAATACACCATGGCTGTGGTGTGTGCAAATCAGCTGCTCTGTGTTTACACTGTTTAAGTAGTGCAATAAAAAGTGTTGCAAAGAAGTAATAAATATAAGTAGTTAAGCATTTTAACATTAGACACAAACATTTCTGTATATTTTCCTCAGAACTTTGAGCTCACTGTTTTTTTCTATCGTAGCTGCGTGGAGACTAATGTAGTTCACGGTGTCAGACAGCAGGGGGAGTTCTTCGTACAGACTGGAAGATTTTTTAATTTTAATTGATGATGCAATATTAAGATCATTATGTTGAATGTATTTTTACATAAATTACTAAATTGAATTAGTTAAATTTATTCTGTTTTTGCTCTTTTCAAATTGAACATGTCAGGCTCATCATTCTTAAATCTCATTGTACTGTCTCTTTGTTTTTTTTAATATGTCTGTCCTCTCTCTCAGTGCATGTTCTCCATGTTAACCTTCCTTGACTCGAGCCCCCTCTGCAGCTACCTGAAGCCCATCCTGACTCACAGTGGCCCCCCCCTCACAGCCACGCTGCCTCCCTGCTGCGGCCCCCTTGCCCGCTTCCTCACCAGCCCTCAGGCCTTCGAGGTCAGACACTGGCTCATACAGCAGCTATTTTGGTCCAAACTGTATTTGTGATGGTTTTATCCTGTATTAAGTGAATGGAAAAAGTTATTTTTTACTGGCAGATGAAGAAAAGATCGTGTGAATGTTTCGTCCTCATCTTAATTTTAGTTTCTGTGAAGTTAATGGAGTGTCTAACGTCTTCCTCCAGAATGAAAGCCAGTTGAAGGACGACGACTCTGACCTCATCCTGACCGACGGCGACATCAACTTGACTTATGGCGACATTACAGTCAGTACAGATGCCTCAGGGGCCCACACCAGCGGCGGTCTGGTCTTCGCTGGCGCCACCTCTGACGACTTGGACAGAGAGTTGGCATACGGAGATCATGAGCTGGTGATGAGGGGCACACGCCTGGTGCTGCCCATGGATGACTCGGAGCCGCCCTTTACAGACCCCCACCACCGCCTGCAGATGTGAAGAAGTCAGTCTGTCAGCGCAGACACAGAAAACCGTCCAACTCACACTGACCCGAGCCATCGAGCAAAAGACCAGTACCTGTCATTCTGCCTCTGAATTCTCTTCTGCTCCGGCACCGTTCCTCATTCATCTTGCTTTTTTATTTTCCACACGTTTCCTCACTGCTACATTTACTCACCTGCTCTTGTGGCATATCACTGTCTCTACCTCATTCTTCATTCTACTCATTTCCACACCTTTCTGGCATCTGCCAAAACTATAATCTATTCTTATTTATTTGCTGGTTTTTTATTTGGCAATCATTTGAAAGTGAATTTTTCTGTTTGGCTTCAACTTGTGTGCTAGTTACCTTAACTGTAGCATCGCACAGAGGTCCAGCAGCATGTGTTAGTGTGCAAACGCAAGTACCGACCACTATTTAATTTGTCGACGTACAGTATATCACTATATCTTTGATATGCATGCTGAGGATGCTTGTTGTTTTCTTTGTATGTGAGGTCGAGGGCTTTTGTGTTTCTGGGTCTGACCTTGAATGTTGCTGCCTTCTCTCTGTGCATCAGAGACATGCTGACCCAGTGGACAACTTTACTGTACATTTGGTTACAATCAAGTGCCTGGGAATTGTAGTTTTAAGCCTGGCGACCCACACTGTCTGAGGATGGATCGGTCAAACGGTCAAAGTTTTCCTTTGTAAAAAAGAGAAATACCCAAAAAACAAAGCAGAGACCTCTGTCCATAAGGTAGCAATATACTCAGCGGGTGTTGGGGCTGTCGGTTTGTGCTATTTGCCTGTGAATAGTGTGTAGCCATGTGATGCCACAGATGCGTTGTGACCTGGCAGTGAAAGTCGTGGATCTCTCCCAATGACCTTTGACTGTGACATAGAGATGGACTTTACACCTTAATTTAGAAGCTGATGTTGCTCACATCTGAACGAAGGGCTGCTGTGAGATCCAAATGAAGAAAGCTTAGTGCCATCTCCGTCCTGCATTTGGACTTTTTGTGAAAACCAAATGTTATCAAGTGTTTTATATTTTTTTTGGCAACAGAGCTTATATATTTTAAGCAGAATCACATTTTTCATACTCATATTTGGCTTCATGCACATTTTTATAATCGTTGTTGAGACTTTGAATCCAATTTTCTCATTAAAAACAAAGATAGTTATATGAATTTGACACCAAAAGAAGTTGGACCATGTTGTTGGTGAGAACACTGGTGTTTTGTGAGTGTAACTTTGGTAAATCAAAGAATTGATTGTCTCTTTATCTGATTTTATTTGGGCTGCAACCGATCATAATTTTCATTGTTGATTCATCATTGTTTTGCTGATTAATGTCAAAAAATGCCCAAAGATATAAATTTTGCAAGCACATAAGACTAAAAATGATAAGTATTTACATCTATGAAGCTGGATGAAGTGAATTCTTTATGATATTTATGTGGGAGTTTGTATTAAGAACAGAACAACTGTAGTTGTTTACATGATGGATGTTTTTCTCTGCCGTCCTTTGGGATTCATGGCTTGATATTTAAACAGGATGTTAAATAACATTAACGTGCTTCAAGTCATAAGACGTGTTACATTTAACTTATTGTCTTACTCTGTCGTTCGATGTCGAGGTTATTTTCGTGCGTAGAATGGAAGGTTGTGTTGTCTCCTTCGGGTGTGGAGTATAGCAGCTGTTGATGGGGGTTCAACAGGAAGCGTTGATAGGACTTCACCGTGGCAACACTGTGTTGATGCGGACAGAGGCCAGGAAACACTCGATGACGTAGTCGAACACAGTGGTTTGGTGGTTTGCCCTTGCAGTGAGCCTAAGAAAAAAAAATCGGGTGAATGAGTTAAGGAAGAGAGTGTGAGATATAGATGATTAAAATAAGAGGAATAGATGAGGAAGGAGAGTTTGGACGTTGTTTTTGTGTCTTTTCGTATATTGGGGATGAAACAGAGGTGGAAGGAAGAGCAGGCGTTTTTAAATATCGCTTTTCCTTCCACAGTTATCTTCTGCTATGCAGGAACTTCTTATTAAAAGTGTTGACATTAAATCAGCCATGCCTTTTGACATCCCATTATCCAGGAAACTATTTAATCTTCCCTCCGCTTTATACTTTTCATTTGTGTTATTTTGGACTTTTATTTTGTTGATGTGATGGGAAAAAAGCCGAATAATTTGCACTCATCTTTTGAGAATGTCTTTCTGTGTTATTGCCATGTTTGTTTTATCTAGCAGCTGCTTTTTTTATTGTTTACCTTGTGTTTTGGAAGCTTGTGAAAGAGCAATGTGCCGTCTGTTAAATGATCGGTGAAGAAATGTATTTCGTAGACATTCAGTTTGGTTCATCGATGAAGACCTTGTGAAGAATAATGTCCGCACTGCAGTGGCAGACCTTTCATACTGTCATTAACCCTTTGCAGGTACTTTGTATGTATGTTCGCAGTTTAAATGTCTTCTACAGAGCATGAATCATTCATCCCCCACTGATGGTGGAAAAAAAAATAATACAACATTATATACAAGCAGAGATTTGTGACACTGTTCTTTAACTGACACATTAAAAAAGTGAAATCTGCAAAAGCTCTTCTAGGTTTTAGTATTTGCTTCCAGCTCTGCCAGTGTGTTTCTCTCTTTGCTCTCTGAGTGGTCGGCTTTGACCAGTGGGAATCTTGTCTGAAGTCGCTGACCAAAGAGGCCTGCTGTGCTCTGTGTTTTCAAACAGTCCACCCTATCTTTATACTGCAAATCTCTCTCTCTCTCTCTCTCTCTCTCTCTCTCTCTCTCTCTCTCTCTCTCTCTCTCTCT